GTAACACGCTTGACCTTCTGAAATTCCAGCTCACATACTTGTCTCATGCACGCGTCCGCCCACCTGCCGAGCCACTGTTGAACTTTTATGATGTCGCCCACACAGGCTTGCCTTTTCAGTGAATGGGTTATTTTGTGGTCAGTAGAAGAAGTGTTTACCGCTCATTAGATTTTCTTTATATCAGATTATGCCTCAAACATGTAGAGAAAATGCAGTCCTTGTATTATTGTGAGACAACATTGTGCCTTTTAAAGCCTCAATTCAGAATTATCCATTCATTATTCATAACCACTTATCCTCATACAGGGTCACGGGCGTACTGGAGCCTATCCCAGCCGATATTTGGCAAGAGGTGGGGTACATCCCAGACAGGTCGCCAGACTATCACAGGGCTGACACATAGAGACAGTCATTTATTCACACTCACATTCACACCTACGGGGAATTTAGTGTCACCAATTAACCTGCATGTCTTTAGACTGAGGAAGGAAACTAGAAAATCTGGAGAAAACCCACGCTGACATGGGGAGAACATGCAAACTCCACACAGAAGGACCCCCGCCAGCCGACTGATTCAAACCCAGAACCCTTGGCTGTGAGGCAGTAGTGCTAACCAGAGTTAGCTTAGCCACATACAGCCTATGTTTAGCATTTTTACACGGGTGGACAAAGTTTATTTAAAGGTTCCCGTGGAGGTTTTGACCTCTAGTCGTGCTATGAAGTTATTTTTCCATGATTGGGGACCCCTTTTTGTTCCATCTTGTGTGTACACACACGGCAATTTCCTGATCAACAGGTGGTGGTAATGAGCTATGATATGCAGTAAAGGCAGGGAAGAAGAGGACTGATAGCATTTTAACAATGCAGGATTTAAAGTACTTCAACTTTTGGCCTTGCAGATGTTTTAGAGGAAGGAAATGCATTCAAGTTTGTTAGAGTTTGTTAGAGGATTCATGCAGTGGGTGTGGTTGAGTAACACTGAATGTTAGGGGTAGGAAGTGGCTGGCATAACATGTGTTTGTGTACAAGAAAACACCCCAAGGCAAGAGGTTCAGTATGCAACTCTGGAGAAAGATGGTTGTTGAGGCTCATTCTCAGGTTGTCAAATATCGATGACCTTGGGTTGGTTGTCAGACCGAACCACCAACCCAAAGCATCGGTATTTGTCAACTTGGAAATGAGACTCAACAATGAGCTACCTTTCTCCAGAATTACATGTTGCACCTTTTAATTAGAAATTATTTTATTTACTCGTGAATCTGTTTTGCAAGTTTGGGGTTTATTAATAATTATTATATGACATTTTTAGCTAGTGCCAACTTTAAGACTGAATGTTCAGACTGACAACAATGCTGCGTTAAAGATTTGCAAGGAGCTGTATTTGTGTTGCTTCAGGCACCAGTGTGACAATGTAATGCAATCCAGGAAGGTCAGGTTAATTAAAATATCATGATGTTGAAGGCTTATCAAACACTAGAACACTGTACTGCAATTTGTCTTCTGAAGGAGACAAACTGGATTTGACAACTCCTGGAGAGATATCAGTATTTTTATCTCTTGTCAGGTAGAGTGCAGAATTATTCTCATCCATGTTACAAATTAATTTCCAGGGAATGTATGCTTGTATTAGATTGGCCAATGCAGTCCATTTCTGAATGAGGTTACATTGTGTTGTGGTAAAAAAAAAAATAGAGCCACGTTGAACTTTTTTACCCGGACAAACTTGCTTTCTATGCAGTCTTGTGGCCTCAGTGAAATGAAGGAGGGTGCTGCATTTTTCATGCAGTGCTGTTGTCTCTCTGAACTCAGTCTCAAAACGTCCTGTTATGTGTCTACATATAGAAAGTGTGAAAACATGGGGTGTAGGACAGCTCATCTGCCATCCAGAAACACCACTATACATCATCCAAGTGCACTAAAACCCCTCTAGTTTTTTACATCATATCCCCCACAACCCATCACTTATAGTCTGTCTTTTCTTTGCCTGAGACCTGTGATCAGCAGAGGCCTGAGTGATGCGACGCTGTTCTGCTTACTCAGGTAGAAACTCCCCTTGAGGACATGCTCTAATTGAATGGCGTCCCTTTTAGTGTGGCTGCGCCACCGGAGCATGTTCCTGCGCTGAGTACTGGCCTTTACACTTGAGTTTTAGCAGACCTCCACTCATGACTCAAAGTGAAGCGCGAGTCCAATTGACTCCCTGTCTGATCAGTGATGGATGGGTACAGTAGAACGTCAGTGTGCATACTTAGCAGGGGTGTAAATCACCAGTTTCATCACGATACAATATACTGATTCTTTGGACAATAGAGTATTTGCTGATATCACAAAGTCTGCCACTAGGCCTGTAAGATTGGGATTGATTCAATTCAGGGGGCCTGCAATCAGTAAATATCCTCATTGTCTTTTTTGTTTGGCTGCCTGCCATTGTCTGCTGGGCACTAGGCCTCTAGCACTGCTTGAACGTTTAAGAAGGAGGTGTGTCTGGATGGAAATAGTGACCGAGGCGTGCTATGGGAATTTCAAAATCAAAGCATGTCTTTGCATCCATGAAATTTAGGGCTGCACCGACTGTGGAATTCCAGGTTGATATATTTTTTGTCGCTATGAAAACATTAACAAATTTCTCCTTCAAACAACTGTAATCGTTCAAGTTTCTCACCAAAAACATTTTACAAGATGACATTTGAACACATCATGAGAATGACAATAATTCACCTTTGCCCAATACTCATTGTCACGGAAGAGAGCTTGAGCGCATCATAATGTAACTTGATGCAACCTTCATCAGCTGTCCGTTCCGGCCACTGACTGCTAACAGCTAACGTTAACTAGCTCTCCTCCTGCTGATGACAACACAAATTTGTTGCTCACAGCGTAGCATTATCAGGGAAACAATAGGGTTAGTCCCAAACACCTCCCCTGGACAACAGGACGCTGTCAGTCTCGAATGGAAAAGCATCGGCCGCTGCCATCAGTGAATGTCATCTTATTTGTAGATAGGACGATGGCAGTCAACAAGTCGAATATGGGCTGATACTGATGTGCAGCCAATAAATTGTGCATCCCTAATGACATTGGATTGTCGATCATTTAATTGATATATCAATGTATGGTGACACCCCTAATATTTAGACATTCAAAGATAGAGGGAGGAGATAGTTATAGTCCAGTATGGAAGGCACAGACACATATAAACAGAGATACTGGATCTCAAATGCTGCAGCAAATTCGTCTGATATCATTGCAACTTCTTGCAGACTGTGTGTCGGTGTTAAGTGTCCTCAGCAGTGTCATACCTGCGTGGGATAGATTCAGTAATTGGCAGGATTGATTTAGTCCTCACTTTCTCTACTTGAGTGCTAAGCAGAAGAAAAAATACTGGCCAATCACAGGCATAACCGGGCCCACCAGTGTGAGAGCAGCTCCCCCAGCTCCTTGCCAGCACTGAATTGGTGACAAATTAAAGAAGCTTCTTCCACTCCTCCTCCTCCTCCTTCACTTGTTCAGCAGAGCTCCTACACTTTGGTCTTCCCTCGTCGTTGATCGAGGCATTTATTTGTCGCTGCACACTGATCAGAATGAGACCTTTAAAGTTTTGTAGTTTTTTTCCCACTTCCCCTTTTTTATTCAGCCTTTAGGCATACTGTCACGCTCAGAGAGTAGTCTGTGAAATTAGGATCACATGCTCAAACATTGGCTTGCATGTAGGAAGTGTGTGTGCAGTGGGTCTTGGGCTGTTTGACTGCTTCCCCATACTTTGATGTCTGCTCTATGCAGCATCGATAATGGTATACAGTGTAGAGCAGGGATACTGAACTGGCTTTGCCCAGGGGCTACTTTTGCAAAATGATAAGAGGTTAGGGGCCAGTTAAAGGGTCAGTGTGTTGGATTTGGAGAAATGGATTGGCAGAAATGGAATACAATAAATTACATATGTTTTCTGAAGTGTATAATCACCTGAAAATAAGAATCATTGTGTTTTTGTGACCTTGGAATGAGCTGTTTGTATCTACATAGGGAGCAGGTCCGTGCCCATAGATTCTGCCATGTTGCACCGCCATGTTTCTTCAGATAACACTGACTCTAGATAGGGCCATTCACATTTTCGCCTCGGTCACGGTAGTTAGCAGCCCCTCTGCGACAAGCAGCGATGGAAAAACACTGACTTTTTTCAGCACGAAACTGCTTTATTGAGTGTTTTTCCCGGTTTAAATAACCTGGTCCATTTGTTTTGGAGAGGAAGAGACCTCTGTGGATAATGTGGCTCCCGGTAAAAACCTCCTGAATATCTGGATCAGAAAAAAAGTGAGCACACATTAGCAGGTGCTGGGCTTGTGGCCGAATAGCGTTGAAGAAACACTGATGCCTTACTGCTTTATTCAGTGTTTTTACTGGTTTTCATAATCTGGTCTGTTTGTGTTGGAAAGGAAGAAACCTCTGTGGATAATTTAGCTCTTGAATACTGAAGGAATCCTAAGTGGGAGTTCACACTTGGCACATGGGAGAAGTTTAAGCTTGTTGCAGTCTGCAGTCCTCACTTCTAATCCTCTGAATCTGACAAATTGCTCCATTATCAAACAAACAACTATTTTTATCAGTGTATATAATACATGAATTACCCAGTTTTAACCTTGTGTCATTTGCTGTCCTCGCTCATCTTTGCCAAATCAGGTGGATGCAGGGGCATTTTGTAGGAATTGGAGACATTGGAGATTAGCCCAAACTCTGTGGAGGGGTCTTGGGGATCCCGCCCTGGCACTTGTGAATCAATTTGTTGTCATTGTGAATTAGAATACAATCAGCAGGACCCCCAGCACCTTATCCGTAAGTTGAGTATCACTGGTGTAGACAAAGCTGCTTCTCTTGTGTTTGCATTTACCCATGCTGAGGTGTTAATGAGCTTTTTATTAACCCCAGTGCCCAGTGTTTTTGTGAGCTGGTCAGTCATAAAATAAAACAAAATGGACACCTTATGAACATTCTACCTCTCTCTGCAGGTGCCCTTACAGTCGGTCTAGTCCGGCAATGCCAGACCATCCACGGACGAGACCGGACCTGTATTCCACCTCGGCTGCCCCCAGAGTGGGTCACCACGCTTTTCTTCATCATCATGGGCATCATCTCCCTCACAGTCACCTGTGGACTACTCGTGGCATCACACTGGCGCCGAGAAGCCACCAAATACGCCCGCTGGATCGCCTTCACTGGTAGTAAGTGAACCAATGGTTTTGCTACACTAGACTTGCAGTCAGCACATTTTCTCTCGGAGCTTTCTCACCTTCTTCTCTGTCTCACTGCATAACCTTTTGAAAATTATCTCTCTTTGAGGCAGGAAATAATAAAAGGAGAAGTGATGAGGTTGAATAGGTGCAAGAAATTGGCCCCGCCACGCATTGCTAATTCAGATGTGCAGATAAAAATGACATCAGAAGCGTCCGAGGCTATATACAGGACCTTTTGTGTGTTTGTGTTTCTGAGAGCGACGTGAAAACCTGTGCGTGGGTGTGTGTATTTGGTTGCGTTTGCACATTCATGAGTGTTTTTCTTGCATGCTTAACGACTCCTCTTGCTCCCTGAAGCTGATTTATTGAGTAATACAGCTCCTCTGATACCCGAGTGGGTGGCTTATGTGCCACAGCATTTCTCTAGTGTTTTCTCTCACTCTTTGCCTTGAACATCGCCACTTTTTTTTTTTTTTTTCAAACACGATTGCTGTATAGATGCACTTCCAGCACTCGATAATAACCCAGCATCCATCTCGTGCACCGTAGCTGGGCTGGTTTCGTAAGGCTGCGTGGGAGGGCGGAGTTTGATTGGTCGGTGAGTTAAGGGAATAGACGGCCTCAAGCACACTTGTACAGATGGAGCGGTGGCCTGTGAAGCTCTGTGTTATTGTTTGAAAGCTGGGTGCATTTTTCAGGACACTGCAGCTTTTTTTTGTTCTGCAGATTTGAACAAACACCCAGTGTTTTCCTCAAGTTTTTTTGTTGTTGTTTATGCCAGCCAGGCCAAATGCAGATTGATAATTAGGTTTTGTAACGCTCCCTAATCACTTGCAAATTCTCGATGAATCACCACTTTCCCCACAAACTTGTCTGTCCGGTGAGCACAAATCTGTGTCACAAGCTAAATTGGATGGCGTTGAGTCATTGTTTAACAATCACACTTCAAGGAAAGTAAGGTGGTTGCCATGGAAACAGTGAGCAACTGTCACCCTTGTCCCCTTGTTAAGCTTCTGTTGGCCATATTAGACAAGAGGTATATTCTTTTCAACGAGTTTAATGCATGATGATGATTATCACTTTAAATCAGGAAATAGAGCCAGACGGGGGGACCCGAGATATATTTTAGGCATGAGGGAGAAGAAACTTGGTTTGTTGTATTAAAAAATATGTGAAATCATCACTTTATTCTGTTTGAAGGCCCCCATTCACTGACACCATGGCAACTGATGGTCTTTCTGGGATTCTCTTGTATCTCAAGAGCCTGTTTGAAGTGTAGGAGAGGGCTGAAAAGGCAAAATTGGAAACTGAAATGAGCTTTTCCCCCCTCTGATGTTGCTGAACTTGTAGTTTTGATGGCGAACACCTCTCTGCTGTCGGGAGAGGGTGAGAGGTTAAGTGAGGAAATGGGTGGGGGCTTAGGAAGTGTCGAGTAAAGACAGCACGTTGAGTGAATAATCATGTTTGTACAGGTCAGGAGCCAATATAAAGGCACAAATGGACGCGGAGAGATGAAGAATAAAGTGAAGCTGGTTGTGAGGAGACGGGGGTGGTGGTGCATTCAGGGCAACCAGGTGATGAAGGTTGAGAGGAGGTGGGCAGTCTGTAGTGTAACTGGCTCTCGGCCGACGGCACCTGAATGGACAGCTTTGTATGACCAGCACAGACCCGCCTCTGTGTAGCTACACACACACACACACACACACACACACACACCCACACACACACACACACACCAGCAGTGTTTCTCCAAGGTGTGAGGGTCATCTGTGGAGGTGGAAATAATAAATATGTTTCTTACGTTATATTGACAGTAACTGCAGAAAATGTGGTGGTTAATGATGAAATAAATTTATTTTCCCCTCCCTCCCCTGATATTGATTACAGCCCCAAATACCTTTATGGCCATTCTCGGAACCCATCGGCTGTATTTGGCGTCTGACTTCCGGCAGACGGTGATACAGCCTCTGGGGGCAGACCCCCGATTTTTTGGCATTCCGGTTTGATTTGGGTGGAGGAGGCGATTTTCCGTTTCCAACTTCAATATGATGTGGACTACAAACAGCCTACAACCGGAAACCAGGGCTCTTCCGCACCTCTTCCGGAGATAAGATCTCCGGGGTTTGCCTACAGACTCTACATTCACTTAATGTAGAGTCTGTATATAGAGACTACTTTATGGCTGATCCACCAACAACAGAAACCTTATTTCAAAGAGTGACTTGACACTAAATCACTTTTTATGCTTTCGTGCTGACGACAGCCATAACTGGTGACATTATTTTTGCGGGTTGTGGGTTGCATGACTGTCTGTCCCATACTCGTGAACATGATTTCTCAAGAACAGCAAAATTTCTTCAAATCTGGCACAAACGTCCACTTTGACTCATGGATGAAATTTTTATATTTTGGTGTCAAAGGTCACTGTAACCTCAAGAACTCAAGAATTCATATGCAAATTTTGATATAATTTCACAAAGATGTCTAATAGGATAAAATGTTTGAGAGGTCGAAGGTCAACTTTTACTATGACATCATAATGTTCTGAAAAAAACACTTTTCTGACCATTATTCAACATCTTATCTCAGGAATACAAGGGGAGACGTTTGGTCGGATACAGAATTAGTGACACTAATCTTGGGTGTCCATCTTAAAACTGAGCTGATACAGATTTTCTGTGCTGCCGGGTAGAAAATGTGTGTGAAGCCTCCACCTTTTGCCGACAAATGCACATGTAAACTGCAGCTTGACTGGTCAATGGAGACATAAAACTGTGAGACGTAACTTCAGGTTTTGAGTTAGCAAACAATCACTTTATCACACAATCTCTTGATCCTGTTCCCATTTTATAGTGTCCTTTATGTCTGAAATCTAATTTGTTACTGGATAAGTATTTTTTGGCTTCCATAAACATAAATATCCAAGAATACGCAGTTTACTGTCATGTAAGACCGGGAAAAGAAGCAAATCCTCATTTGAAAAGTTTTAATCAGATAATGTTTGCCATTTTGGCATGAACACAATTTATTATCAAAACAGACTTGTTGCAGGTCTAATATTGAAGTGCAAAGCGAATTTCTGTACTTTCGATTAATAACTATAAGTCATTAGTTTATCAGCCAAGGTGCGGTAGTTTCACCAGCTGCAGGTGGGGTGTCATCAGTTCAGGCACTTAAGAGAAGCATTGGACCATCTGGTGCAATTCAGTTAACTTACTGGTGAAGCTTGCAGCAATGATGCTGAGCTACGCATTTCTGGCTCCACTTAGCTTACCGTTCACCGCATCCTTTTGCAATCGTAACCCCCATCATAGATAAACACATGGCTGAGGCAATGAGCAGGCAAAATGATAGACCTAAATATATCTTGTGTGTGCTTTGTGATGCAGATTTATCAGACATCGTTCATTTGTGCTTTATGCTGGCAGGCGGGGAAATTTGTCCTGTTTGAGTCAGCACAACATGCATCTAATTGGCTCTTTAAGGACTGTTTCTGAAAGTATTGTATACACTAGTGTGTAATCATTTACATGTCAGGGGTTCTGTTTTTCAGAAAGTACAGTGATACGTACAGTTAATAAGACCATAACTCTATTAAAAACAGTTTAGTTTAGTACCTGCATGAATCTTACACTCAATTAATCTTGTTCAGATAAAATTCCGGAGGGGGCGATTTTATGCTATATATTGTGAGACACTGTTTATACTATGATTGCTATCCCATGGATATCTTTGGTTTCATTAGGACCTTGTGGATAATGTTGCAAATAAATGAGTCAGCCTGATTGATGGCAGCATTGAGTTTTTATATGATTGTTGCACCAGTGTGCTGTAAAGACTGCACTCGGATTTGTCAGGTATTTAAATTGCTCGATTAGTCAAAAACAAATATTCCTGTCTGTTTATTTTATCTACATCGATCAGCCTAAACATTAAAGCTACTGGCGGGTGAAGGGAATAACATTGATCATCTTGTTTCAGTGCAGTGTTCTTCGGGGGAAACCTTGGGTTCTTGCATTCTTGTGGATGCCAAGCACACCCCCTCATGGCACAGCACTCCCTGATGGCAGCGGCCCCCTCTAGCAGAACAATGAACCATGCCACACTGCAAAAACTGCCAGGAATGACCCGAGGAAGGCGAGAGGAAGGTGACAGAAAGCTTAAGACATCGACCTGGCTTTAAAATTCCCCAGATCCCAATCTGATTATGTTTTTATGGGCTGTGCCCCAGGTACCCCCGATCCATGGTGGGTCCTCCATGGATCCGCCTTGGCTCTGACCTTTCGAGGCATGGACACAGAACCTCTTGTGGTGTCTGATACCAGGGCAGTGGATTTCTGCAGTCCTGTGGGTTGTAAGGTGGGAGCATGTCCCACAGATGATCACATTGGGATCTGGGGAATAAGGAGGCCAGGTCAACGCCTTGAGCTCTGTCTCACATTCCTCAGGTTATTCCTGAGCAGTTTTTCGGTTACTCTGGGGTGAATCGTAGATAATTGATTGGCAGAATTCCAGCCACAAAATGTATTTTAATCCGAACATCTAGATTTCTGCTCCACTCCGGACTCCTCTGGCTGCATAACACAAGAAAGCTGTTAAAGGCAACACTGATGAGATTTTTGAGACTGGGAAAAGTCGTCCCTCAGGTACTGAACAGCTCTGCTAATTGGAAAGATAGAGTAAAAAGGTGATGGCTAAAAATGGCTTCCTGTGCTGTCACCAAATGGATTACACACTGTACTGTACACACTGCAACCCCACCCCCACCGTGCTACAACAGACAATCAGTCCAGGAAAGAATGCTGGTCAAAAACATCCGACTGTGCGCTTTGAATGCAACAATAAGAGTTATTTTTAATACCTGAAGCTGTTCCACAAATTCTGCACAGCTATTGATCTTTGATTCACCAGAGTCTCACAGTTGTTTAACGTCACTGTGGTCGACATAAATGGACTCAGAGCTGGACCCAAAGCTTCAGCAAAAACATCTTCAAAGGATACAGAAGAGAAAAGGAGCCATCCTAATAAGAGACAACTTTGTTATCCAGTCACAGATCCCTACTTCCTGGACAGTACGATAAGACTTGGTACTGACTCCGCCTCTGCATCGCTCCGCAGCTGTGAACATGTTGTGCTCATCATCACAGCATGCTCACTGTTTTTTAGGGGAGTTATTTTCCTTTGGTCATGCACATGCGTGCTTGTAAAAAGCCAATTATAAATGTGGCTAAAGGGGAACTCCACTGATTTTACACATCAGAGTTTGTTTGCGGGTTCTGGGGAGCACTGCTTCGTAGGTATGACTCCAAAATAAATCTGGAGGTGTAGAGTCAGAAAGAAGCCAGCTTAAGCAGCTCGAGGCTATATTAGCCTGCTCCATTGATTCTTATCGTCTGTCCATTGTGAATCTGACATGTTATAGGAGTGCAGTGCTGAATCGAGAGGAGGACTCTGTTCTCTAACCCTATACCCTGATTATGAAAACCCAGTCTCTGTATATATTTGAGTTTAAGCTGAAGTGAGGGACTTGTACACATAAACAAATGTCTGTTACATTTAAGCTCTTCTTAGACAAGGTCACAATGCTGATGAAGCATTGTATGGCAAAGTTTCTTGATACTGGTACTTACACTTTGGATAAAAAATAAACTTGGCATTCACAGGATGGACGAAAGGCAAAAAAAAGAAAGTAATTGACTTGAAGAGAGTGCTCCTGGGGGCAGGGAGGATCACGGTGAGCTCTCTTGCAGGCATAGCCCATGTCTTAAGCATGCTCTGACAGTGTTTGTGTAATTACTCTCACTGCCAAAGGAGGGAGACAAAAGTTCACCACTGCAGGTTTAAGAAATCCGAAATAGAAAGCTGTTTGATCACACCAGAGTAGACAAAAAGTCTCTGTAATTTGTTTTATAAACTAATCTAAAAGGGGAAAACTTGAAAGTGGAAGGTTTTGGATGAAAGGTTGTTGCTTCCTTCAGCTTTTCTAATCCGTTTCACTCGGCCACAGTTCAAAGAAACACAACCTAGATGCAGTGTAAGTTTGTGTATGATGTGTCTGACTCATGTCATAAAGTTTATTTCAAGAAATCAAAGCTCTTATGTAACATCTAGTGGCAGCCGTAAAAAACTACAACATCAGCATACTGTGTGGCTTCCTCTACAGCCCCTAATGTTTGTCCTTTGTTTAATTCAGGAAATGCTACTTTAGGATTTTACTAACTTGCGAGTAAACAGAGCAGGATGTGGCTGTTTAGAAAGCCTGAAATCTGATTTGCACCTTTAAGCACGTAGAGAAACCTTAAACATTGTTAATCAGCCTGAGGTTGTTATGGAGAGCTTATTTATGCTTCTTGGAGAAACATTTACTGAAACTAATGCTGCATTCAAGTGGTGTCTGAAAATAGTGTATATTTGTGGTGAGCTCAATATGGTTTTACCCACAAATATTTGTCCAAAGCAACACAAAAGATTGACTTTACTAACTTCAAAGCTGAAAATAAATCATCTACCTGAGGGATGCTTTGTAGAGATTTGCCAAAACATTTGGCTGCCTTCGAGTTATATCAGAAATATTGTAATTTAAAGGTGGGAGTAAAGAAATGACCCAACAGGATGGTAAACAGAACATGTAAAAAGTGAATGTTGTCATTTTTAGAATTTTAAGTACATCTGCGGTGTGCATGTGTGTGGCCCTGTCTTTAAAATGTGTGTGTGGTTGTGGTGGGTTTACAGGTTCATACTTGAACACTGTGCGTATTTGATGTCTCCTCTTTTCTGTTTGTTGACAGTAGAGGTAAACGGGTAACTTTAACATTATTAAAGAGGTACTGCATGTGATTTTTGAGCTTTAAACTAAACGATATGACTGTAAATTTCTTACCAAATTTATAAAAATCATAATTTCATGGGTTGAAAATGGCCAACACACCATCTGCTGTTTGAAATCAGCTCTGAACCTTGTCAGGCCAAGATAACCCAGATAAGTCCCAACCACTCGACACTGTCAGCCAGTGTCGAGTGGTTGGGACTTATCTGGGTCATGACATTTATATTTAAAAGAAGAATTTTAACGCCCTCTAATCAACTCCTACCTCACACACACACTCCTACCTCAGTCCCATTCTCATGAACGTGATATTTCAAGAACGCCTTGAGGGAATCTCTTTAAATTTGGCACAAACATCCACTTTCACTCAACAATGAACTAATTAGATTTTTTGGTCAAAAGTCAAGGTCACTGTGACATTGTGTCTGTCTCATTCTCAGAAACACAATACCTCAAGAACACTTTATGGGAATTTCTTCAAATTTGGCACAAACGTCCACTCGGACTGAAGAGTGAGCTGATTTTGAATTTGGTGGTCGAAGGTCAAGGTCATAATGACTTCACAAAACATGTTTTCGGCCATAATTCAGCAATTCATACACTAATTATGACAAGATTTTACACAAATGTTTGATAGGATAAAATGATGAAGTGATGACGTTTTATTTTCAAAAGGTCAAAGGTCAGCTTCACTGTGGCATTATAATATTCTGCAAGAACAATTTTCTGGCCATTATTTGACGTCAAAACTCAAGAACAGTTCAGTTTCATGTTTACATGAAAACGATCCGCTGAAAACGGAATTGTTTCTCATTTTCATTTTGAAAAAAGTTCCGCGTTCAGACGACGTTTTGATAACAATCACCGTGTGCACAGATGTGTCCAGGCCAATAGTTAGCGGTGTGACTCTAATGAAACAACACGTGCCTGCACACAGAGCGGTGATGTATAAACAAACAAAATGGCAACCGCACGAACGTTTGTCTAGATAGACGAGGTGTAGTTGCTACAATAACTCTACACTTCGCTGGAGAAGCATTGATGAGTTTATTGGGCTGCGTACCACAAACAGAGCTTGGGAGTCGACCATTGTTGGTCGACTTTCTTGCGCATGCCTAGTGACTGGAACCGTAATGCGCATGTGTGAAAAGTATCTGTTTTCACAGGAACTGCATATAGCAAGTTTACATGGCAATGGGGACTATGCGTTGCATTGCACTCTGGGACCTGTTTTTAATACGTGTTTTCAGGCATCCAAAACGTCGCTGTCATATAAGAAATCAGCCAAAACGCAACTGAAGTTTATCGTTTTTGGTTGAAATCGTTGTTGTATAAACATGGACCTTAGTCAGATACTGAACTGATGACACTAATCTTTGGTGCCCACCTTGAAACTGTACTGATTGTAGATCGTCTGTGCTCGTGGGGGGAAGATGTGTGTGAGGCACCCATGTTTTCACACACATCGATGTAAACTATAACTGCAACTTGACTTTTTTCATGGAGGCATTGAACTACAAGGCGGTCAGCTTTAATCTCTGCTGTCTTAACACTTTTACAGTGTTTGCTCCTCTTTTCTCTGCTGCAAATCACAGGCATGTCTGAACTAACACCTTGACTCGCCCATGGACACAAGACAGTCAGCCTGTGAAGGTCAAGGGCTTTTGGGAAATGTTTTTTAAAAGCTGCTAAAAGATAGAAATATGACGGTGATATTAGATTGTTTTTCAAAAAACTAGTGTCCTTACTCAGACAAAAGAAGCGATCCTCATGACGTACTGTTGCGTGACAGGCTCTGTTTAAGGCTGTATTTTTAGTTCCTAAAGTAGTGACAAATGTCAGTGGGATTTTGAATGAGGTGTCTTCATCTGGAACAGAAGTCTTTATATAGGACAATTACATCTGCCAGCGCTTGTGGAAAGTTTGAGCTAAAGCACTGATATAATGATAATGGTGTCAAATGTTGGGTTTCTGTAATTGCTGCCATGGTAATTATAAACTGAATGTTGAGATGTGTCACGAAATTAAAGCATACACAGTGATTTGTGCACCTGCTCTCTTTGTCTCCTTTTTTAATGAAGACATTGTTGTGAAACGAGCAATCAGTCCGTCATCTCTGCAGTCTGGGAGAGCAAAAAAAAAAAAAAAAGATTTACTGCCAAATGTTGGTTTGGCTGAGCCTCACAGATTTGTTGCTTGATATTTTGTTGCTGTATGTTTGTCAGAACATTGTGTATTCTATAACATAACCTTTCTTTAAATGAAGCAGTTACTGTCAGAGTGCGTTTGACTGAAAGTCTCTTTCACATCTTCCCAAAAAAAGACATGATCGTGGTGCGTACTATGAGTCTGCTTTGTGTAATTGCCCCTTCAAAGCCATTTGAAAGGCACTATTGTACATCGCTAATGAACTTACTAAAATTGAATTCAGTTTGCACAACCTATGCTTCCTGCTCAAGTTGAGTGAGTTCATGCTTAATTTTCTGCATCTAGTATGGAGAACAAAAACTAAAAGATAGACTGAGACCTTTTGCGTCCCATCTTTTATTTTTTAAACCCTGTAAGTGCCAGTCAAATGACTCCAGACATGAATTACACCTACTTTAGTACTCACTAAACTAGTGAGTATAACTGGGTGTCTGTACAGAATCATATTATATGTTATGTAAGTGCACAGTAAACTAACTTCTTTCCTTCTTACTCCTTCCTTCCAGTGATCCTCTTCTGCATGGCGGCGCTCATCTTCCCCATAGGCTTCTATATCAACGAGGTGGGAGGCCAGCCGTACAAGCTGCCCAACAACACAGTGGTCGGTTCCTCGTACGTGCTCTTTGTCCTCTCCATCTTCTTCACCATAGTGGGACTTTTGTTTGCAGGCAAAGTTTGCCTCCCAGGCTGAGGACTCGACCGTGCCCGCCTCTGGACTGACATAAGAGGCTCTGAAAATTTCATGGGATTTACAAAAACACACAGTGACTGAAAATCAAAAACAACAAACTCTGGCCCGAAGCCTGAAACAGGGGAGTCTTTGAATATGTGTCAAGGGACCGCAGCACCACGGAGTACCTAACGACTAAAAAATGAAAACGAACAAAACACTAAGAGGAGGGACACGGGGCACAAGCGGGGGTGAGAGGGAGAAAGGGCAGCAGAGGCAGTCGCAGCACCCTGCCACTGTTGATTTAAAATACAGCTGTCTCTGTTGTTGTTCCTTTGTAAAAGGGTGCTTAATGTGCTGCTGTCATGGCAACTGCAGCCACAATGCTGGCGCACATTTCTTGAGGACCACTGCAGCCACTCCTCGACTTGACCCCCGGCCGCCCGCTGCACCGCCCTCGGCACACATCTGCGCCGTCACGACTGCTCCTGTTGCTATTTTTGGCTTCTCTTAGCTATTTCAGTTGTGTGTTTTTCTGTTGTTGTACATTTTGTGTTCTTTTTTTGTTGTTATTTTCTCCTCCCACCCCCACCACGCCTCCCCACCCACCAACGCCTTTCCACTGAAGTAGCTTGAGTGTAATTGAGGTTCACTGAACTGAATCCTTGAGGGGAACTGGGTGGTTTTCTGCCAGCTTGGCTTTAGAGCGGGGTTTATTCTTGCCTGTCACTTCAGGAGGCCCCAGGTGTGTGGCTGGGGAGAGCAGCTGTGAACACAGCTGCCTGGGCCAGCTCATGGGCTGCTGTGGACGAGAGGAAGGTGCAGGTGTGCTGCCTCCAACCAGCTGCAGCTCAGGTGCAGGTAGCAGTGAGGGGCAACTTCCCTGGGCAGCAGAACAGGAGGTCAAGTACCATAAAGGAGAATGCCACTCAATGTAAGTTGAGTTGCATTATGTTATTTATATGGACAGCAACAGAGTATTAGTGAGCTACTTTGCTAAGCTAAACCCATGACACTGATACACATCTTTTGCCAATAACTAGAAGACTGTGAATTTAGAGAATAATCATCTGAACATAAACACACCTCCTGTATTTGTAGTAATAGCTCGGTTAAGTACAGCCACAAACATAGTGGCCTTTTCAAAGTATTTTTCAAAGGTGTTACATCACTGTGGTGTTATATTTTCGAGGAGTTGTGATGAACTCATATATCTGTAATTATAGCAGACAGTACTGACTTTTTATAAATAGAAGATGAGGTCACATTAAGGTGTAACAATAACATATGTGAATGCTGAAAATTGGTGGTATTCTCCTTTAATGTCGAATAGGAAGGAAGTGAGCCAGGAGCAATTTTTGTTTTGTACAACAGTGGAGGCACAGGGACTGCAGGTCAGGTCCATGCTTGGGGCTGCGCCTCAGTGTGTTGCTCTCGAGTGAATGTGAAACACACACACACACACACACACACACACACACACACACACAAAGAGCCACCACTCTCTGCACGGTGTAAATCCACACATTGGGGCTTTTCATTGTTGAAAATAGTGAAAATTTGCCTATTAGACATTCATAGAGCCAAAGGTGATGTCTTCAAATTGCTTATTTTGTCACAAGGCCAGCTTTTAACTTAAGATCAGTGTGACCCTTAAGACCCTTAAAACCATGCTTTACTCGGCTCAACAAAACTTTTCAGCTAACTTGCCTCCATCAAGGTTGTGTCCAAGGTTAATTTTGGTTTGGGCATAATCATGCTCTGATCTCAAGATAATAAAAAAAAATGCCTTTATTATCCTTTTAGATATCATCGCCGGACATTTTGTGCAACTATCTATAAACTCAATTTCTTCTTCTTCTTATGTCAAAATCCAATCATGTTTTCTTCCTGTAAAACAAAATGTGACGTGTGCCTAAGTTAGCTTGTACCAAACCGATTTAAACCAATATCATCCTCCCATCAATCAGTCAGCAACTTTTAGTCGCACAGAGCTGGTTAGCTAGCGAGCAACAACATACTACGGCTGCTACTTGGTTATGGGTTGCGGGCTGGAATTTATTCCTTTGAGGAAAGGGATATCTGCGACAGCTCCAGATTATGCGCGAGGCATTTTGCAGTGGACTGCTTCAGCAACTAACAGAACAAACGATGCTCTTCAGCATCTGACTCCCTGACAGATGCTACCACCCCGTCTGTGTACAGCGTCAGGACACACCCACTTTGCAATGATCATTTTCAAAACAGCCTAGCTGAGGTCTAATTTGGACATTCATTCATCTAATTAATTCATTGATCCATCTCTTCTTTGCCCCCCTCTGGTAAAGGAGGTGTGTGCACTCCACTGCAGTTCCAGTAAACTCTGTAACACCGTTTCCTAACAGCAAACAAGCGTCTAACTACTGCTACACATCGTGTAACATCAAAATTTCTCTGTCCAGATTGAATCCGTTAAATATGGAACTCTGTTACATCATGTAAACAAACTACTTACCTTTCAGCTGTGCGCAGATGTAACCACTGAAAAGATGGGTGAGTACATACTTATTTATTCATATTCACAACACGACTGTCACGGGTTAGATGGCATTGTCATAGCTACCATGCTATATCATGCCACCATATCCACTTTATAAAATAAGCTAGCTTAATAGAAAGCTCTTCTTTTTTGCTGGAAAATAAGGAGGTATCATATTGATAACTCCTCATTTCAACCTTGTGAATCAGCCGTTCCTTGTCCATTGCGGCGCTTTCTACGAGAGGGACAGGAATGAAATAGAAGCAGGGCGTGTTGTTTATGTTTAGGTCAAAATGGTGCACTGCATCGAGGGCAGGATATTCCAATAAAAACAATGCAATCAAGTGTGTGGCATCCAGTTAGGACACGTCCACCCACATTTAAGCATCCAGTGAAATACAAAGGATTTGATTTAAATCCCTCTTGTAACTGTATACTGATCAAATATTCTGTTTCACTGAGAAATACATCACAGTACAGAACATAGAGACGCTCTAACTTTTCACTGAGACTTCAAGTTTTAGAACTACAGATCCCATAATGTGGAGAACTGAAGGGATGTAAACAGGAAGAAGGAGGCAGTGAGTTATGCTGTGTGTGTTGAAAGCCTATATTTGAAATTGGCACCATTAAAAGTATGCCAAATTAGATATTCTTTTTTGCAATGTCCTTGTAGATATACAGACAACTATCACTGGATTACTTTAATACAGAAGAAAACTGAAAACATGATTATTCTCAGGCAAGTTCTGGAGCTGAAAAGAGAGTCGCTGGAGTTTTCTGATGATTTCTAAGCTGATTCATGGCCGTTTATTCACAGATGATTATTAAAAGCCTCTCGTCTATACAGAGCACCAAATTCTGTATTTGTTCACCTTATTTTTCAAACTCATTATTCAAAATAATGAGTCAAACCTCTTTCATCTCGGAAATGAGTTGGGTTTATTTTACTGGGACCTTAACACAGCCTTCCCTGAACCAAATTATATTATACAGATTTACAATCCATCATCAAAATTGTTGCAGATTAATTTTATTTTGATCGCTCCTCCACATGTATGAAAAAATAACCCACATATAAGCTTCTACTTAACATGTTTACGCGTAACAGTGTGGGGAGCATATGACCTACTGACACACAGATCTTCTCTGCAAAGTGTGTGTGTGTGTGTGTGTGTGTGTGTGTGTGTGTGTGTTGACTCAATCACAGAGCTCAGTCGCAAAGTCTTACAGTTTTCTTTTTGTTTTGTATTTCTGTTTCCTGCTCAGCTTTTCTCCCTCTCGGTCTGACGATGTATACTGCTAACTCTCCATTCTGCAGTGCCCTCCCTGTCCTGGTTGGTTCAGTATTGTGCCATGACCTGTTTTTGTTTAATAATGTACAGACACACAAAAGGCAGGATTTCTGTATTAGGAAGCACTGTGCATTCAACAGTATAGGTAACAGAAATAGAAGCACCACAAATGTATAAAAAAAGAGAACTTCTTACCTCATTGTTTTTGTTTCTGCTATTATTTTCTAATGGTGGCAATGTGTGCCCTCTAATTTGTCTCTTGCCTTGATCGGATGTCTTCACATAAAGCCTATGATCATAGGAAATTATTTATCACTGAATAAAAAGAGGAAAAAAATGGGTGTGTGACTCTGACGCAGTCTTTATGATTAATTGTGCTTATTTAAGGGGATGTGAAGTGTGAATCCAATCAGCAGCTGCGATGATGGACAAAACAGCGCAGATAATTTAATCAGACGAACTCTCCATATCCTATTAATCTTAAAACCAACATGCTACTTGTGCAGGATGTGACCCAAATGTCCTTCTTCTCCCACTTCATTAAATCTGAAAAAAAAAAAAAAAGACAAACCTACTTCAAGGGCAGCCACCCGGGATGCATCAGTGGAAAGGCTATCTGTGTTCCCAGGCTGCATCTGTTTAATGCTGTTAAGTGGCCTTGAAAGCTATTTTTAGAATAGTATTGTCAGGGCTAAGTGGTCTGATTAAGTCAGTTATTTTGAGGCTTTTAATTTGCACAGTAAACATTTTCCTTCACAGTAACACCTTACTTTCTAAGACAACTGATGGTGTTTATCACCACCATAGTTTTGAGCACTCCAGAGGTTTTACACTTGGGATAAACCGTTGTACCCTTTATGTTGACCCTGCTAGAAATGATTTGATTGTTTTGCCAGGAATTAAAACTTGTTTTTTTAAGACTGAGTGATGGGTTTTTTAAGTAATAGCGTGACAGTTTGGGGGAGAGCCTTTTTGCTTTTATGTTGAGAGTTAGATGAGAAGTTTGATACCTCCTCTCATGTTTGTTCGCTTAAACGCTTAAAGATTAGGCTACGTTAATATTACTAGAATCAGATTCCAGTGGCTGCCTGCAGAGCATTGATTTCATGGAATCCAAATAAATGATGAATGATCCCAATAGCTCCCGAGCGTTGAAATGTCTAAAAGGCAAAATTTAAAGACCCTTTTTCTGTTAGTAAACAGTATGATGTTTGTTGGTGGGCGGGGCTTAGCTGGAGGCAAAACAATTCTCCACAGACATTAGCCGGCGCTGGCTAGCATGTTCTGTTGGCTTGTTTTAGACAATGGAGGAAGATGATACAAGTGGTGCATTCGGGAATAGTTCGTAAAATTCAGAGCGCTATCGGAATCTATTGTGCTGTTATTCAGAGCACCACATCCTCGGAGTGGCAGAGCGGTGATTGACTTAATTGTTTGTGAATTCATACAGAAATATAACACTCCATTTCTTCGAATAACAGGGTTCACATTTTAGTGTAGAGCGTCACACTGAATTTACAAACGCACCATGTCAGCTCACTCACTCTCCGCAACCATGAGCGTTACTTTAATGAGTAAACACTGACCAACGGGAGCAGACTGGCCAACCCGTACGCTCTCACTCAGTGTATGGATGATGTCACAGGAAGCTTTGTGGTTAATTACTATGCCAATCCTACAAAGGAGGACAACACCTCGAACAGTTTCCTCCAGTGCGTTTTGCTATCGAAGCTAACGTTAGCTAATGCCCTAAAAAGTTAGTGTTAGGGAGAAATCCAATATTCCTCTTAATACCTCCTCAACATCTGATGAGGTGGACATGATAACCCTAAATACACATAATGTTATTCATCCCTACAACATTAAATACTTTTTCCCTAACCTGATATGATGATTTTTGATGATCGACTCCATTTAGTCCTTTTGTCTTATGCATTTAACCCTAGTTGCCTTTGTTTTTGTTTACAGGAAATGATAAAAATTTCGGTTTTGAGCCATGACTCCTTCTATTCTGGCCCCCAATAACACAACAAGACGACATTTTAAGACTTCTATGTAGCCTACAGCCCTGCAGTGGAGAGTCGTGTTTAGCCTCCAGCTAACAAACGGACGTCATTTTGACGTCGGCTCTAAAAGGGTCCATTGAACAAAACATAGATCTAATCTTTTAAAAATACACGTTTTTATCCAACAAAATATTGTGCCTCAGTCCATATTTGTTGGCATTTAGCATTTCAACATTTTCACTGCAGTCAAAAAACTGTTGCTCTCCTGCTTGCTGCAAACAAAGGGAAACACAATAGTGCGGCACAAACATCCACTTGGACTCAAGGATGGACATAATAAGATTTTGGTGGTCAAAGGACACTATTACCTTGCATCCATCTCATTCTTGTGAACACCATATCTAAAGAAAAATTTGGCACAAACATCCACTCGGACTTAACAATGAACTGATTACAATATGGTGGTCAAGGTCAATGTAGCATCAACTTAGTGTCTATCTCATTCTCATGAATTTAATATTTCAAGGGAGCCTGGAGGGAATTTTCTTAAATTTGGCACAAACATCCACTTCGACTTAAGAATGACCTGATCAGAATTTGGTGGTTGAAAGTCAAAGATCAAGGTCACTGTGACCTTGCAAAACATGTTTTTGGCCATAACTCAAGAATTCATACATGAATTATGACAACATTTCACACAAATGTTTAATAGGATATAATGATGAAGTGATGACATTTTATAGCCAAAAAGCCATATGTCAACTTCACTGTGACATCGTAATGATCTACAAAAACACTTTTCTGGCCGTTAATCAACGTCACAACTCAGGAACAGAAGAGACATTCGGTCAGATACTGTATTAGTGACACAAGTAACTCTATAGATCCTTCAGATTGAAGATGTGTGTCCAGCGCCCATGTTTTTACAGACATGGATGTAGACTGGAAGTGCAACTTGACTGGTTTTCAGAGGCATACAACCACAAGGCCTTTATTCTCGTTCTGTTTTTAGGGTGATGACATCATTAAATATGAAGACAGATATTCAAAGCTTCATTTGAAAACCTTAATAGAAGCTTCAATGGGAAAGAAAGTACATTTAGCACAGCCCTAGTTTAAAGGTAACAATATCTGTCTACTAGCACATCAAAAGCTCACTAATTAGCATGTTATATCATCTCCACATATTCAGCACAAGAACTGAGGTGTATAAACAACACATTGTGGTTTTATGTACTGCACTATTAGCACAGTTTTTTGTGGAGTCTCCAGTGGTTACCTGACAAGTTCACAGCCACAACAAAACAAGGTGAATTCTGTTACCTTTGGACAGAGCCAGACTAGCTGTTTCCCTCTGCTTCCAGTCTTTGTGCTAAGCTAAGCTAACTGACTGCTGATGGTGGCTTCATATTTACCATATAAACATGGAAGTGGTATTGATCTCATCTAACTCTTAGCAATTAAGGGAGCAAATAAGCACTTTTCCCAAAATGCCAAACTTTTCCTTTGAGGCTCATGAAACCTGCTCTAAGTTGTTTTTCTGCAGCATTAGCACTTAAGTTTATGGGTTCTCCTAATTAACATTTACACCCTCCGTTCCTTCTCTAACAGTGCACCACAACAGTTCAAACTCAGAGTTCTTCAAGAAAACACCAACAGGCACAGAGATCTGAGGGCGAGCGTTCACTTCTCAGCACAAGTCTGCCATAAATAGGTCTTTATATTCATGTTTGTCACGCGTTCGGCCAGATGGGTCACTTTCATTTACTTGTCATTTTCTTACTGTCGCCGTACAGCTGGAGATGAGACAGCTCGACTCCTCTCAGGACTGCACCTCCATTAGCCTCTTGGTGACCTGCAGCGCGGAGCTGAGCATGAGCAGTGTTTCCATTTAGGATTTTAGAAGGTCACAGTATTTCGGCTCAGCGGATCACATCAGTCCTAACAGCACTGTGCTGTCTGAAGACAGCTGCTGGACTTCAGCAGAACTACAGAGAAAAATGCACCAATTAATATTTGACCTCAGCTTTCATACAATGGCTTCTTACACATGGTTTTTCTTTAATCATATTTTTTTTCCTTCATACTGTGTGAAGTTTGACCTGTTCAGGCACCAGAATCTGGTTCACTGCAAAGTAGGCTTTCACATATAAGGAATTCAGTGGTATTTTGGTCACAATAAACATAGTAAGAGAAAAGTAAATAGAATACCACAAGTGAGGAGTCTTTCATATAAAATAGAAATTTACAAAAACAAAAAAAGTAACATACAATATTTATAGCAATATTTATAGCATTAGCATAGCAGCAGGCTATTTACTATGAGACAGTGCAGTAATGAGCAGAGAATAAAGTTACCATCTCTGTGCGTGTGTGTTGCAATCTGAGCTCCCCTGTTCGTTGCTGTGGCAGCCAGTCCAGCCACACATAGTCCCTGTGAGTCCCGTGTATGTATCCCACTTATCGCCGCCGCTCTGCACTGCACTCATACGGTGATTAGGTGATATCAGGATTGTGACATCGCAAAAGTGTATCACCCACCATCTGGTTCCCCCCTTGTTAGCAGCAGAAATGTGTGCACTGTTGTCATTGTTAGCACTGTTAGCTGCTAGCTGAGCTTCGTCCATGTTGAGAGCCGTGTGCAGACAACCTCTGAATCATATAGAGCCCCTTAAAAATGAAAAGAGCTACACTGTTTTTCGACAGAGTTACACCCACCAACCGTATCGCCGCACAGAAGGAAGGGTGCATCGACTTATGGACCAGAGGCTTGCTGGCTCGTTTTTTTAATCCGTCATTGAAAAAAATCGTTACGCCCAGAACCCTTGCACACTGATTCCGATGTGTTTTATTGTTCTATTCATTGTGACAATTCTTAATATGTGACAAAATTAAAAGACACCTTTCTTCCTTGGCCTTTGACTGAATGACTGGCTGTCATCACTCCCTCTCTGTCTTTCATTTGGCACCGCAGCTGCATGAAGGGGCGAAGCTGTCCTCCCCCTCTGTCCTCCACACTCTGTGTGCGGTCCACATCCTCCTCCTCTTTATCATCACCCACCTGAATGTTACTATCTGATGTGTTGAAAGTGAGCTATCTGAGTTGTGAAACGATTCTGTGTCCTGTCGCCACATTTTCTTCACTGATTCTCGGTCAAACGTTTCTAAAGGCTTCTGACGGATGCGAAAAACACACAAAATCAAACCTATTTGCGAAAATTTTAATGACGGACGAAAGTTTCGGATTGACACAACAGGAAGTCATATTTATTTTTAGACATGCAATAATCTTGGACCAAAAAAGAGGACTCAAAAGCCTTAAGGCCGTCCA